GGCATACCATTTGCAAAAGTAAACAACCCAGCGTATTCAAAATGGCGTATGTCCAGTCATTTTTAGTAGCCACTTAATCAGAAACCCTGGTCAAATTTAGATTTAATACTCCTTTTCACATAAAAACTGCACTTTTACTGCTGATATCATCATCATCATCATCATACAGTGAGGGGAAAAAGTATTTGATCCCTTGCTGATTTTGAATCTTTGCCTACTGACAAAGAAATGATCAGTCTATAATTTTAATGGTAGGTGAATTTTAACAGTGTCAAAAAAGTTATAAATTGATTTGCATGTCAATGAGTGAAATAAGTATTTGACCCCTTCAACTTAGTACTTGGTGGCAAAACCCTTGTTGGCAATCACAGAAGTCATACGTTACTTTTAGTTGGCTACCAGGTTTCACCTTAATGTGCTTCTTCTTAAACCACTTCTTTGTTGCCTTGGCTGTGTGTTTTAGGTCATTATCATACTGGAATGCCCATCCACGTCCCATTTTTAATGCCCTGGCTGAGGGAAGGAGGTTCTCACCCAGGATTTGACAGTACATGGTCCCGTCCATTGTCCCTTTGATGCAGTGCAGTTGTCCTGTCCCCTCAGCAGAAAACACCCCCAAAGCATAATGTTTCCATCTCCATGTTTGACGGTGGGGATGATGTTCTTGGGGTCATAGGCAGCATTTCTCCTCCTCCAAACATGGCGAGTTTAGTTGAAGCCAAAGAGCTTGATTTTGGTCTCATCTGACCACAACACTTTCACCCAGTTCTCCTCTGAATCATTCAAATGTGCATTGGCAAACTTCAGACAGGCCTGTACAGGAGCTTTCTTGATGTAGCGTTACTCACCTTCTCCAGGGGCCGGCCGCGGTCCTCTCTTCAAGCCGCGCGCGGTCCTGCTGCTGCACGAGCCGCGCGCGGCTCATCCGACGGCTCCACTAGCAAGGCGGGCAGTGACCGCGAGAAGCGGTCACGTGTCCCGCCTGAATCTAAGAGCGCGCCGCGAGTCTCGGGCGCGCCCTTAAAGAGACAGTGGGAGCCTAAATTGTCAAAAGGCTCCCATTGGCCCCTGTCATGCCACACTCCCCATACACTTACCTATTGGGGGTGTGGATATGACAGGAGCCAATCACATTAGTTTTGGAGCTATTTAAATTTACCTCTCCCTTTACTCCCTGCCCTATCGTGGTTTCTGTATCAGTTCCCTTTAGCGCTTGTTGTGTTCAGTTGTGTTTCTCCGTATTGACCTTGGCTTTGTTTCTGACTACGTTTTCTCTTTATCCTTCTGTTCTGGTTGTCGGCTTGTTGTTTACTGTGTACCAGACCCCGGCTTGTCCTAGTTTACGCTGTCTCTCTGTGCCCTTGATTTCGGATCGTTCCTGACTCTGTCTCCTCTCATATACGTCGAGTCCGGCCATTCTAAGGTCCGGTAGACGTATCTCTCCTCTGTGTTGTCTTCTGTTTAGCTGAATCCTGCGTGTTGGGGTATATTCTCGTTACATTACGATAGGGCCATGGACCCCGCAGATTTGGCTCAGCAAATGGCTTCTCATGAGGCAAGGTTTGTAGAGCAGGATCACCGTATGGATCAGATAGCACAGGCTCTCCAGACGCTCTTGTCTAGAACCATTCCTGCAACCGCACCTAACCCTCCTACACCTCATCCTCCCGAAGTATCCAATTCAACCAATGCTTTGCCCCATTTAACACCTCCTCCTAGGTATGGAGGGGAAGCCAAGACATGCAGAGGTTTTATTAATCAAATAGAATTCCACCTTGAGGTGTATCCTCATTCCTTTCCCACTGATAGGTCTAAAGTGGGGTTTTTGATGCATCAACTTACTGACAAAGCACTTGAGTGGGCAAATCCTATTTGGGAGGCCAATGGACCTATGGTTCATAATTTCAATAGTTTTCTTACGGCTTTTCGTAGAACTTTTGACACAACAAAGAGGTCAAAGAATGCCGCAAGAGCATTAATGAGGATTAAACAGGGGTCTAGGACTGTGGCGGATTATGCTATTCAGTTTCGTACCCTTGCTTCACAGGTAGATTGGACCAATAATGGGTTAACTACTGCGTTCATGGAAGGTTTATCTGACACTATATTAGATAAGGTAACGGCAAGGGAGCTTCCTATTCCATTAGAGGATCTTATTGACTACCTCATTGATATAGATAATAGAATTCGTGACAGGCTCTATACCAAAAACAAGAATAGACGTCTGGTCACATCTATTAACCCCAGAGTTGATAAACCTGAGAGTGTTAAAGTATCCGAGGAGGAACCCATGCAATTAGGGGTTGCCAAACTCTCGGATACTGAAAAACTACTTAGAAGAAGGAATGGACTCTGCCTATACTGTGGTAGGCGAGACCATATGGTAAGGGAATGTCCTTTGCGTCCGGAAAACTCTCGCACCTAAGACCTTATAGGGGACTGGCCTTGGGTGTGATCTCTAAGTCTCCTAAATTGCCTCCTAATCGTTTGCTTCTCCCTGTTTCCCTTCATACAGGGGTGAGTTGTATAGCAGAATGCATACTGGCCTTGGTTGATTCTGGGGCTGCTGAGAACTTCATTGACTCTGAGTTTGTTACGAAAAATAACATTCCCGTCAGAGAAAGGGAGATACCCTTGGCCATTGAGGCCATAGATGGTAGACCTTTAAATACTCCAGCCGTTACCCATGAAACTGTACCATTATTCATGTACACAGGGGTTTTACACCTTGAGACCATTCGGTTTCAGGTTATCACCTCTCCCTCTTCTCATATCGTGTTAGGGTACCCATGGTTGTGTTCTCACAATCCCATTTTTGAACTGGGAATTGGGACAATTAAAATCATGGGGTAAAACCTGCCACGACTCTTGTATGATTAAAGTCACCCCTTTAAATACCATTAATGTTCCTACCACTCCTCCTTTGTCTACTGTTATACCTCCTCAATACTTGTTTCTCAAGACTGTATTCGATAAAAGGGAAGCTGATAAATTACCACCTCACAGATCCTATGATTGTGCTATCGATTTATTGCCTGGCACTATACCTCCTAAGGGCAGGGTGTACCCCTTATCTATTCAAGAAAACCGTATCATGGAGGAGTATGTTAAAGAATCACTAGAAAAGGGGTTCATTAGGAGATCCTCTTCTCCGGCTGGAGCAGGGTTTTTCTTCGTATCTAAGAAAGAGGGTGATTTAAGACCGTGCATCGATTATAGAGGTCTAAACAAAATCACTATCAAAAATGCATACCCTATACCTTTAATTACAGAGTTATTTGACAGGCTGAAACATGCTACTGTGTTCACCAAATTGGACCTTAGAGGTGCATACAATTTAATACGCATAAAGGAAGGTCACGAATGGAAGACCGCATTCAACACTAGATCCAGTCATTACGAATATACTGTTATGCCATTTGGTCTTTGCAATGCCCCAGCAGTATTTCAGGAATTTATTAATGACGTCCTAAGAGACTTTATTCACACATTTGTAATTGTATACTTGGACGACATATTGATATATTCTACAGATTTACACACTCATCACAGGCATGTCACAACGGTATTGAAGACCCTTCTTAATAATGGTCTTTACTGTAAACTAGAAAAATGTCTATTTGACCAATCCGAAGTCCAGTTCTTGGGGTATTTGATTTCCGCCAAAGGGTTTCGTATGGATCCCCAGAAGCTTTCTGCGGTTATAGAGTGGCCTCTACCACAGGGTTTGAAAGCAATTCAACGTTTTCTTGGTTTCTCTAACTATTATAGACGCTTTATTAAAGGACCACTCTAGGCACCCAGACCACTTCAGCTTAATGAAGTGGTCTGGGTGCCAGGTCCTTCTAGGGTTAACCCATTTTTTTTATAAACATAGCAGTTTCAGAGAAACTGCTATGTTTATGAATGGGTTAAGCCTTCCCCTATTTCCTCTAGTGGCTGTCTCATTGACAGCCACTAGAGGCGCTTGCGTGCTTCTCACTGTGATTTTCACAGTGAGAGCACGCCAGCGTCCATAGGAAAGCATTAAATGCTTTCTATCGGCTGAGGAGCTTGTGTGCCTACTTTTGGCGCTTTTATTCCAACAGAGGAAGCCAGGAGGAGGAGAGGAGGCAGAGAGCTCCCCGCCCAGCGCTGGAAAAAGGTACGTTTTTACCCCTTTCCCCTTTCCAGAGCCGGGCGGGAGGGGGTCCCTGAGGGTGGGGGCACCCTCAGGGCACTATAGTGCCAGGAAAACGAGTATGTCCTTTAAGGGTTTTTCTTCTATTGTAGCACCTATCACCCGTATGACAAAAAAGGGTGGTAATACTCATGTCTGGTCTCCCGAGGCACTTCAGGCTTTCGACTTTCTTAAAACTACATTCGCCTCGGCACCTATTTTACAGCACCCTATCCCCTCATTGCCTTATATTCTTGAAGTTGATGCTTCTGAAATCGGGGTAGGTGCTGTTTTGTCCCAAAGAGAATCGCCTGAAAAGCCATTGCATTCTTGTGGCTTCTTTTTTAGACAAATGTCCAAAGCTGAAAGGAATTATGATGTGGGTAATCGTGAACTCCTTGCTATTATCTTAGCCCTTAAAGAATGGAGACATCTGTTAGAAGGAACTAAGGATCCTATTCTAATTTTTACAGATCTCAAGAATCTATCCTACCTTGGTGAAGCTAAAAGATTATCTTCTAGACAGGCCAGATGGTCACTATTTTTGTCCCGTTTCAATTATATTATCACCTATAGGCCAGGTGATCGCAACATTAAAGCAGATGCTCTGTCCAGACAGTTCGAAACTACTGACAAACAGGAGGTTGATGTTACTCCTGTCATTCCCCCAGACAGGATAATAGCCACTACTATGTTGTCTATTTCTTCATCCCTCTTGCAGACCATACAGGCGAAACAAAGTATGGCACCTAGCGAGAGGCCTATTGATAAATTGTTTGTTGATGTTCCCGAGAGACGGGAGATTCTGTCATTATATCATGATACTAAGACTGCTGGACATCCTGGTATTACCAAAACGATGTCAGCCGTTTCTCGATATTTTTGGTGGGGTTCCTTACGTAAGGATGTCACTGGCTATATAAGTGCTTGTACTACTTGTGCATGTATGAAAACGTCTCGTAGAGTTCCTTGTGGGCTTCTGCATCCCTTACCAGTTCCCGAAAGAGACCTTGGTCTAACCTATCCATGGATTTTATTGTTGAATTACCCCCTTCGAATGGTAACACAGTCATCCTGATGATAGTAGATCGGTTTTCCAAGATGGCTCACTTTGTGTCTCTTCGCAAGTTGCCCACATCCAAGGAACTGGCTCTTATCTTCGCTAGAGAAGTATTTCGGTTACATGGTATTCCTGTATCTATCGTGTCCGATAGGGGTAGTCAATTTATTTCCAAGTTCTGGAAAGCCTTTTGCTCAGAAATGGGTATTTCTCTCTCATTTTCTTCCGCTTACCATCCCCAGTCTAATGGAGCTGCTGAACGTGCCAACCAGTCTCTGGAGCAGTACCTTCGTTGTTTTGTGTCTCACCATCAGGACAATTGGTCTGACCTACTTCCTTGGGTTGAGTTTGCTCGAAATAATGCCACTCATGATTCTTCCAGCAAAAGCCCTTTTTACGTTGTCTATGGCCAGCATCCCGTTGTTCTTCCGGCTGCATTCTCCTCACAGGGCATGCCAGTTCTGGATGAGCATTTGGCTGGTTTGCGTAATACTTGGGAGCAGGTTCAGCGTTCTTTGGTGGATTCCGCTGCTCGCCAGAAGGCTCAGGCTGACAAGCATCGCAGGGCGGCTCCTACTTATGTTGTGGGGGACAGGGTTTTGCTTTCCACGCGGAATATTCGCCTGCGGGTGCCTTCTATGAAATTGGCTCCCCGCTTCATAGGTCCTTATCGTATACTGCATAAGGTTAATCCTGTTTCATACGCCTTGGGTCTTCCTAGGAATCTGCGTATTCCTAATGTGTTTCACACTTCGTTGTTAAAGCCTTACGTACGCAACCGCTATACCCGGCATTCTCCGCCTCCCCCTCCTGTCTCCGTGGAGGGTCATGAGGAATTCGAAGTCTCTGCTGTTCTTGACTCTCGTTACCTTAGGGGTCGACTTCAGTACTTGGTGCATTGGAAGGGTTATGGGCCTGAGGAGCGCAGTTGGATTTCAGCTGATGCTGTTCACGCTCCCCGCCTTGTGCGTTCTTACCATTCTCGTTTTCCTGCCAGGCCTGGCCCTACCCGCCCGGAGGGCGTGTCCTCGGGGGGGGTACTGTAGCGTTACTCACCTTATCCAGGGGCCGGCCACGGTCCTCTCTTCAAGCCGCGCGCGGCTCATCCGACAGCTCCACTAGCAAGGTGGGCAGTGACCGCGAGAAGCGGTCACGTGTCCCGCCTGAATCTAAGAGCACGCCGCGAGTCTCGGGCGCGCTCTTAAAGAGACAGTGGGAGCCTAAATTGTCAAAAGGCTCCCATTGGCCCCTTTCATACCACACTCCCCATACACTTACCTTTTGGGGGTGTGGATATGACAGGAGCCAATCACATTAGTTTTGAAGCTATTTAAACTTACCTCTCCCTTTACTCCCTGCCCTATCGTGGTTTCTGTATCAGTTCCCTTTAGCGCTTATTGTGTTCAGTTGTGTTTCTCCGTATTGACTTTGGCTTTGTTTCTGACTACGTTTTCTCTTAATCCTTATCTGTTCTGGGTGTCGGCTTGCTGTTTACTGTGTACCAGACCCCGGCTTGTCCTAGTTTACGCTGTCTCTCTGTGCCCTTGATTTCGGATCGTTCCTGACTCTGTCTCCTCTCATATACGTTGAGTCCGGCCATTCTAAGGTCCGGTAGACGTATCTCTCCTCTGTGTTGTCTTCTGTTTAGCTGAATCCTGCGTGTTAGGGTATATTCTCGTTACAGATGTAACCATTGTGTGATTGGGTATTGTATAATTGTCTGTGGGTGTCTCCCTTGCATGGGAGAATTGCATAAAAGCAGAGTGTGTGTCATTAAACCAGAGTTCTTCTTCACCCTCAATCTAGAGTCCTGTCTCTTATTGGGGGAATTGCTATATCACTGCAAGGGATTGCCATGCTCTGCTTGCTCCCTTTAGCTAAATCACTTCTAAGCTCTTGTAAGAGCTTGTTCCCGTTTCTCTCTCTTGGAGGAGAGGTTCACCCACTGGAACCTGGAGCCTTGTAGTAGGTCCAGGGTGGGTAGGAGATGGCGAGACCCCAACTAAGCTGCGGCGGTTTGTGGGGTCTGCAGTGGTTGTGGTGTCTACGGAGCGCTTGGAGCCCTCTGTAAGTGCTACGAGCATCCTTCAGTGGAGGTACCCAGTCAGGGTGCCAGGTGATTTGTTACAGTGGTGGCAGCGGTGGGATGGCATCCTAATGTGAGGAGAAGCAGCTCGGAGACACCGGTAACGTGTGGAGTTACAACTAGAGGGATAGAGCTAGCTACTGTGCAGCATCCCTATCTACAGCAACATGGAGCAGGAGTTCCACTGGAGATTGCAGTAGCTTCTGTCCCTGCAGGATGGGCCTATATCAGAAGAGGACATGATGGACTACCGGGAAGCCGCCAGAAAGGAACTTTGGGATGAAGCCCTGGAGGATGTGCAGTGTCAGCGAGGTGAGAAGCTCCCCAGTGAAGAGCAGCAGATCCAGAGGCAAGTGGCTCTGCAAATGTCTTTCCTGGGATAGCAGCCCCTGGACGAGTGGGTAACAGAGCTTGAGAGACAGTTATGGAAGGAGATTTGGCTGGAGGAAGCGCTACCAGGCCCTCTGGGGGTACACAGTGCAGCATACCACTGAGATAGAGGAGCTCGATAGGCCTGAGGGGGACGAATACGATGGTCCTGGTCTACTACTGGATGCCATGGAGGAGGAGCCTGATTTCGGCAGCACGGAGGATTTCCAATTTTGGGACATCCTTGACTACAGGATGGGCATGTACGATTGGCCTGTTGACTGCGCGGTGAAACCAGACCTGATGCACCTGGCAACCATGGAGTAGGAACTGGAGCAGACCTACCAACGCCTGCTCTGCGCCATTCAGCCCCAGTCTACCCTGCAAGCAGAGCTAGAGAACTGGGTAGCAGGACCAGGTCTAGAGCCCTTCAGCTGGAAGGATATCGTAGAGGTTTACTGGGAGGAACCCCTGTCGGCAGGTAGAGATGGGACCGAGGTCTCTCTACTGGCCCTACAGGGACGCTGAGCAGTCGGCCCAGATCCCCAACCCCAGAGTGAGTTCCATGGAGCCAAAGGTGTCATCCTTCCTCCCCAGCGGCAGTGTGAGTTCCAGGGAGCCGAAGGTGTTGTGGGGATATTTATGGTATGATAATATTATACAGTTGAGAATTGCCCACTATTTCAGTTCTTTTAGATCTTAAATATCGTTATCATGTAAGTGAAATGTATTCCATACAAATAAAATCACAATTTGTTATAAAAATAGATATAATTTATTGTGACAAATATAATAATAATAATAATAATATTAGGCAGCATGCATGATATTAATCAGTGAATATTTAGTATAACATAAGTATGTAATATAATGGCAATATTAAAACAATCCAAAGGCTAACAGCATCTACTGTCAATTAACAAGATTTATGAGGTATTTCACAGACACAGAAAGCTAAACTTCACACAGCACAGCGAAAAGTCGTAAAACCTTGGCTAACAGTTAGATCAACTGAGTAACCCTTTCAATGCTGGCTAGATCCTCCTAGGCATATAGTATCCTATTCTCATGTAATTTTCAATTAAAATAACATTCGAACCAGCTCATTAATCATTTCCTGGAACCATCCAATAAGAATAATCTACCAGATTTTTACAAAAGCCAAATTTAAATTTGCCTAAAAAGATATCTTATCTTATTTTAGAGCAAATCAATACACCTGGATAAAAAACAGTGGTATGCTAACACGTGATAATATCACTGTAATGGATCACCTGACACCCCGACTGGGCACCTCCGTTGAAGGATGCTCCTAGCGCTTCCTGAGGACTCCAAGCACTGCAGCAGACACCACAACCACCGAACCGGAAAACATATGAATATTCTAAAGCATATGAATGCTCTAAGCAGCTGAACAGGAAAAGCATACAATCAGCTTACACTCATGGCAATCAGCATACAATCCAATTCCCCCAATAACGAGACGACACTTCGTTTTGAGGTCAAGCAGAACTGATTGGACTGGCACATACAGCGTCTTTTATTCCCAATCCACAAACTTAGTACTGCCCACAGGGTTTTACAGAACAACCAATAACACATACAATACACTCAGACACTACAACACAAAAACCTCCCCTCTGCCTGTGATACAATTACCTTACACAATGGGTAATCTAATTATCACAGCCAGAGAAATACAGTTTCATAAAACACATCACAGGGACCCCAAAACATGCAATAACCCCATATCCAAAATTCACCCAGATCCGTTCACTACTTTGGAAGATACAGTTGAATGTAGATTCTGCAGAACATATACAGGCTAAATGAAAAACAATCACTGTATAATGTGTCCCCTGCTGTATAGTCCAAAATCACCGCACAATGTCTCTGTGCAACAAATACTGGCGAGATGGCACCGTGTTGAAAAGTCCAAACAGTGTCTGGGAGTTAAAATGGCCGCCATCCATTGTTCTCACCATGTGCTTCATCCATTGTTCTCACCATGTGCCTCTGATACAGGAAATGGTGGCCACCCAGTAACTCCACAGTATGTCCCCAGATGGTTTTTAAAGGGCCAGCAGCAGCACAACACAAATCCATTATGCCCAAATCATGTCTTTAAAGGGCAATACATCCCAGGGTCCATAGTCACATGGCAGGAGGCTGGCAATCAGTCTTCTCCAATGCCCAGTGGCGAGGTCGGTTTTGCCACAATCACATTAATATATAATTAGTATTAATTCCACCTGCAGAATGGAATGTTTATAACTATATATTCTTTTGTTAACTAAGATTTCTAAATATTGAAATCTGACCGTGATTTATCCAGTCAAATATCACGCTATTAGATTTTAATTAATTTAGATTAATTAAATAAAACCAGCATAATTACCAGTTATGTAGATTGTGGCGGAACCAGCCTCGCCACTGGGCATTGGAGAGACTGATTGCCGGCCTCCTGCCCTGTGACTATGGCCCCATGTTGAAAGGATGGATTTTTCCCTGCAAAGACCCAAAAGCTGGGTCTTTTGGTACTTTCCCTACGTGAGCAGTGTTACCCAGATAGCTATGCCATGGAGCCCATTCGTAGAATGAAAGACTATGGGAAAGACTTTGGCTCCATGGCAATTGAACTGTATGTGTGTGCTCTGAGCGCCATTCAATAATGTGCGCTCAGATCTGAGCTATCTGGGGATATGTTGAATGTACCTGTTTTGTGCAATAGCTGCACAGTTATATATGTATTTTGCTGCCATGTGTTCAATGGAGTTTTGCCTCTGTCCTTGGAGATAATTAGATTACTTCCCAATTATCTCCAGGATAGAAGACTCTGTGGAACTGGTCACAAAGGACTACGATCTATCTTTTGAACCATTGGACCAATTTGTATGTTTGTATTTGGAGTATGCTGATTCTGAAAATGTAAGTTTTATGTGAATGTGATGCATACTTTTCAAGTTATGAATAATGTGGAAAAACTGTATTTCTCTGGCTGTGATAATTGAATTACCCATTGTGTAAGGTAATTGAATCACATGCAGAGGGGAGGATTTTGTGTGGGAGTGTCTGAGTGTATTGTACATGTTTATTGGTTGTTTTACAAAACCCTGTGGGTGGTAGTAATGTGTAAGAATGTGTACATAAGAACAATAAACCCACAGCTCTGGAGTTCCTGCCTAACCCTCAAACTGAAGTGTCGTCTCATTATTGGGGGAGGATTTATTGTATGCTGTTCCAGTTTGACTGCTAGGAGTGTAAACCTATTCGCATGTTTTTTCCTATTCTGCTGTATACAACATTCATATGCTTGAGAGCATTCATATGCTCCTACGGTTCGGTGGTTTAGGTGTCTGCTGCAGTGCTTGGAGTCCTCAGGAAGTGCTAGGAGCATCCTTCAACGGAGGTACCCAGTCGGGGTGCCAGGTGATCCGTTAAATAGATGTTCTCATTAGATGACTAGGTAGTCCCAGGAACTTGAATGCAAGTATCATTGGTTGTATGGAGGTGTGTAAGTAATAGAGAAAAGTGATGTTGGTTAGAAAGTATTAGTAAAATTCTAAGTGTCAAGGAGTGTTTCTTGAGTTGTGTCCAAGAGAGTTTGAGAGTTAGTCCCAGAGTATCTGTCCTGTATTTCTCTGAATGTCCAAATCCAAATACCCAAACTAACCTCTTCTCTTTGTCCTAACTTTTAAAGGGCCAAACTCTCTGTACGTCATTAGTTGATAAGGCCAATAGGAAACTGTAGGTGTGTCTATGTTATCTAGTATTATAAAGTTTTTGGTCAATAGAGGGCGTAATTGCCTAATTAAACTTTCTTATCCAGGAAAGAGTTAACTTTTCCTGTTGACGATTTTGACGTCATTTGGCTTATCTAAAATGACTACCATAACTTAAATTTGGTGTCAGTTGAAAGCGTTTGCCTCAGTCTTTGTGGCAACTACTTTTGACTTTTTGTAATTTCTAAAATTGACAGTTCTAAACTCAATTTCACCCCTTACTTACAATGGGACCTTGTAAAATTTAGAGAGTAAAATTAATTATAGTCTTTTCTGTAACTAGTGTCTGTGTTTAAAATTATTTCTATTCCATTAACATTTCATCCCCCTGCTTCATTGCTTATCACTTGGCTTGTTAACATAATGCAATCCTTAGCTCAGGCTAGTTACAGAAAGGAAATATATTTTGTCTGTCTTGCCTGAAATCCAAAATGGAGTCTGCTCTGTTCTGAGTGACTCTGGCAATATACACTTTTCATTTCTATCTTAGCACAAAATGTCTGCCGATAGAAATATCCTGACAGTGTCATGCTTCCTCCCCAGCGGCAGTGTGAGATACATGGAGCCGAAGGTGTCGTCCTTCCTCCCCAGTGGCAGTTTATCCTACCAAGCGGAGACATCAATCTTCCAGATGGTGCAGATGGGACCGTGGTCTCTGTGCCTGACCCACAGGGATGCTGGACAGCCTGTCCAGATCCCCAGCTACCATTGCAGGAGTATCAGGAGGAAGAGGTAAGCCAATTCTCCCCTCCACAGCTAACTCCTAACTTGGCCCCAGGTTTAACAGAGGAGATTTTAACCCCCCACTGACCCCCCATGTTCCCCTGGCTACTGAGCCAGATTATGTCCCAA